GCTATAAACTGATCTGGCAGTGCTTTACCTAAGTGCTCTACTTTTTATTTTTAGAAGACTCTATAGAAGAAAATATTAATCGCTGGATGAATTCTTGTGTTTTATAAGTTTGGATCACATTATTACTTAATTATTTGTGGCCTGTTTTTTCCAATAGGAAATACAATGTCTGCAACATTGAAGTTTCCTGTAGGAAAATCGTGACCCCTGAAATCTCAGAATGAAGTATTTGTTTATTGAACTACATTAAAATGCTCTTTCACAAATCTTCAGTCTGAACTGATGTGTCTGGCTTATGACCCGGTGCCTCATGAGAAATGTATCCCATTGCTCTGTTCAGTTCCACAGTGTTCTTTGAAGGATAGTGTTTCCCATCGAGTGTCTGGATAGCCTTCTGATCAAGCCGTCTGCTACATCATGAGAATTTCAAAATGCTGGCTGTCCCAACGGATACGTTGCCTGCTGCACAGCCATGATTTATAGCACAAACTGTGGTTACGTGTACCTGCAACTCCATGAGGCAATGTGCTACCGTAGGGAAATAGAGTTTAACCGTGAGCTTACTCAAACTTCAATGTATTTTGTTCACCAAAATTCTGATGTTTTAACTTTTTGTCCTTTTTTCAATGAAAAATAAAGTCTGAAAGATTGATACTTCCCATGAACTCTTCAGTATGACTTCATGCATTCACTGCTTGAACAAATGTGGCTGAAGTGGATTTGGTTAGAGGCGGGGTTGTGCCAGAGAAATGAAAAAAACATAAGTAAAGACACAGCCTTAGGAATGATGTTTGAAGGTATGGTGAGGAGTGAAAAATAGCCGTAATCTTATGTAACAGTTGTAGCAGTGTTTTCCATGGGCAGGGTAAGGCCAAGTCAGCCAAACTTATGCATTACAGGGCTTGCTATTATCACTAGTGTCATTACTAATAACCATATCACCATGCAGACCAGGTGAGAGCTGTCATACAACTGCCTCCAATGTGACACATTGAAAAGGTTTTTTGCTTCCATTCCTCTCATTCCTGCCCTGGATAAGCTGATCTAATTAGATTGTTAGTAAAATTTAAGTTCAGAAGTGACAGACTTTACTCATGCAGAATGCTGCGGTCTCATGGTCTTTGCCTGAAGCAGAAACACAAGATTTGAATCTCAACACTTAGCAGAGGCCGATGTATGTTGAGATGAAAGTAAGGGAGGTTCACATGGCTCTGTTTTTCTACCAGCCGTGCCCAATCAGTCCATGCCCCGAGTGCCCTGTGCTGTGCCTGCCCACTGGGCTGCCTCCCTGATCTCATCTCTTCTCAGGAAAGAGCAGACATTCTTTTGAGGGATTTAATTTCTTTATCTGTTTTTCATGTTTGGTTTTTTTTTTATATCATACAGTCTATCTGTAAGTGGGGTTAAACTACAAGGCCAAGATCAGGCAGGCAAGACAGAACACCATTTGTCATTTCTAATAAGGATTGCTTCACCACAAAATATCAAGCACTGCAGGCTTCTGAGGGAGGGGGCTATTGGGATATAGCTGATATTCATGGATAAGCTGTATATTTTTTCCTCTGTTTGGAACCATAATGAGAAGATTATCACATGAGGTCTTCAATAGAAAAGTCTTAGGTTCACCTTCTCCATTGCCATAATCTTGTTTTCTTCTGTTGAAGAAGTGGAGATTTCCAGGGTGGATTTGCACAGTGATCTGGAAGTTATGGTACAAGAGTTTCAGAGGGCTGAAATTCTGCCTGACGTGAACGCAGAACTTCTGTCTTGTTCTCACCTGCTTTCCTGATCTGCTGAAAGTAGTGAATTCAGAGATACGCTTTTTTATAAACAGAAACAGAAGCCAAAAATCACCTTACAGCTCCTCACATATTCCTGAAAATGTCCACATTTTTAGTGCTTTTGGTGGGCCAAAATATTATTTACCAGTGCTTCCGTATCTACACTTTTTGTTTATTGGGTTCACAAGTAAAAGATGCAGTTCAACAATATGTGATTTAATCTTGACTCCAGTTAATCAGGGATTACTGAGGCTAAAATGCCGTATCTTCCCTTAAATATCAGAGGCCACATTTTGCTTAGCAAAATATATTATTCATAAGCAAAGATATACTTAGATGTGCAGTAAACAGAGCACCAATTAGCACCACAGTTGGTTTACAAAGTATTTTTGTTTGTTTGTTTGTTTTCATGAGGTTTTCTGACAGATTTCTAAAGGGCATTATTTCCCCCAAAGTATCTTCCAGTTTAGTAATGAGATTCAGCGTTTCTTGTGTCAGGAACAAAACACACAGATCAGGAAATGTAAATACTGTACCCTCCCCATTACTATATCTGTGACCTCTTAAATGCAGAGAAAACAATCTCTAATATTTCAAAATGTCAGGCTCTCTAATGAGGAACTTCCCATGACAGTCTTCTCATCAGAGAAAGGAGTGGAGATTCTAACCGTGAGTGAAATGGCCCATCTTGCACTCAGTGCAAATTTTGTCTAGAAGTCATGAGGTGGACATGGGCTCCTGAGCAGTTTACTGCAGTTTACTTTGATGGCTTAGCCTTGGTAATGGTATATTAGCATGTTGTTGACCCGCAACAATACAAGATAATTCAACTTACTTTAACCTACAGCAAAAGACAGCTAAGGCGTCCTACTCAGGATTTATCTGGTTTGAGAGTACGGCCACGCCAGCTGCTGCCTCTCGTCCAACTTGCAGTAAGTTCAGCCCAGTTGATCATGAGTCTCAGCCCTTGATTGTTTTGGTGACTTACTACTTCCTTCATCTCCTACCAGGTTTCTCATCATTAAATTACTTACTTAACACCCCAGTCAGTGTTTCTCAGTGTTTCTTTTTTCTTAATTTGGCAGCGCTTGTGTTCATTCAGTCCCGACAATATGAAGTATTGAGGAAATCACAGCAGCAGCCAGCTTGTGGTATAATGTTTTGTTGCAGAGAGGAGTGCCTACGTGCTGCTAGGGAAAAATTGTATTAACTCTCACTTTCAGATCTTATTTTTTACATTCTCAAGCATTTTTATAGTGAATCTACAGCTTCTGTTGGCACGTGAGTAGGAAATGGTATACAAGACATTGCTGATTCTTATTCAAATTATGCTCAGTTTGCTGCTAGAAAATCTGGTTTATGTTACCACAGCAAATTACAGGATGTCAGTAACCTTTATATTCTCAATTTGGATGGATATCCTTGCACTGAGTAAGCCAGAAGGAGCTTGTGTTAGAATTTATGAGCGGAAGAATAATCCAGTAGAGAACGTGAAAGGATGTTTTCTCCTTCCTTAATGACGCAATTTTGTTAAATAGAAAAGAAAACTTTAAAATCTAGGGAAAAAAAAATATTCATCCTGTAGAATGCAGAAGGATATCGACTGTGCTCCTAGGCAAATGCTACCCCAGCTTTCAGAGGATCAATAAGTATGTTATTTCAGTGTTAAGAGTGGAAGTGACAACTACAGGCACCGTGTATTTGCATCTGACTTATTGTGAAAGGATGAAGAGCACACCTTACAGCACATAGGTGTAGCACACTTGGAGTCCAGTTAGCTATTCTTGAACAAATATTTTCTATTCCAGAAACTCTTGCAATTTTCCCACAACTGTCTCAATCCTCTCAAACATGTTTAGAGCATGATGCAAAGCCCAGAGAAATCAATAGCAAAGAAATCAATAGTAAAATGCTTAACAACATCCTGGTTAATTACACCTGAAAAACTGCTATACGCAAAAAAGCTGTGCCAGTGTGCTGGAATGAGAATTTAAAACTATATATTTTAATTGTATTTTTTTACTATAAAGGCAGGGGTTGAAAATTTTTTTCATAATATTTGCTGTCTATCTCCAATGGCTCTGCAGCAGACAGTGGAAGCTAATTCATAATGCTTACTTTAAAATAGCAGGGGCTTAGAATGTACAGCTATTGGTTTATGCAATACAAAGGCTATTTTTCCCCTTCCTGACATGTGTTCTGTTTATATACAACTAACATATACTGTAAGTAAATATAAGAACAATGGTATTGTTCTGCAACTTTGTCATTTGGGCTAAAATGTTTCCTTACACAATGCAATTGGTCTTTTGGTCTTGTTTCTTGATGGACACATTTCTGTTTTGAGGGGCGAAAAAGGTAGGAAAATAAATTATTTTTATTTCTTCTTGTTTGCAATTTCCTTGTCAGTACCAGAAATGGTAAAAAAGACTGTGCAAAGCTACAGGAGGTAGGTGTCAGATACCATAGAGATCTGGTATAAATTCTTTTTCCTTACTTTTCTTTATGGCAAAAGGAGGAATTCCAGGTTTTTATGTTAATTCAAAAATCTACTTATCCCTCAATAAGATGTGAGCTGATAGATAACCTGTAATGATTAAAAAAAATATTACAAAGGCAATGCTTCCACTGTATATAAACATTTGCTACTGATCTTGGTAGGTATGTGTAGGTAAAGTTAAGTTTGGATATAACAAAAGCATGTCATTTTACCTTTTGAGAAACGCTTTCATGCCGCCGGATGTTGCTCTTGCAGGGAGCAGGCTTTGAAAAGCAGTTATTTCTCGGCAGATTAGCAGATACAAGCACAATGAGAAGCGAAGCACAGAATTGTTCTCAGGTGCCACTCCTGCAACTCATTGTGCCTTGTCTCTCCAAAACTTTGTTAAGAGCAATTATATCTTCTGAAGTAGGTGGCTAGAGAAACCCTAAAGGTTCCCCAAAGATTTACCATCTGTCAAAAGTGAGCCATTCTGCCACCTTTATAATTAGCATTTACTGGTACCTCACACCTACGTTATCACACCGACTGTAACATACTGTTCTTGAGAATAAGGGTATTGCCACACTCTTCTGCTGACTCTTCTTCTAAGGCGTTGCTATTATGTATCGTTTTAAATCAAGAGAAAATGCAAATGTTTACTTTAGGAAAAAATCATAATGACATCCTAGAGGAGCACCCGAGTAAACACATTTCATTGTTACTTTTCCTCAAACCAGGTCTCTGCAAGAGAGTTCAGAAAGTCTGGTTATGTCACGAGAAAACAGTCCCAGTTCTTCCCACTCCCTCACTGGTGCACCCCAGAGGTTAGTTATTTACATATATTTCCAGCTAGGAATACAAGGAATTAGCCATTTAGAGATCAACAAACGTGAGTAAAACTTTGAATTAGCAGTTCAAGGTCTTAGATTGTAAAAGTTTTCTCCTCATTTATTTTCACAAGATCAAAAAGACCCTCTTAAAAACAGGAGTCTGATTGCAATTGCATTTGTACCAGCAAAAAAAGAAACCTACCTGAAAATGCAGTGGGCTTTGAATCCACTGGAAGGTAAAAGGCTGCAAGGTCTTAGGGCAGCAGCAGCAGGCCCAGTCTGCATTGTGTCTAGGGAGAAGTGAGCCTGCAGAGCTGTGAACCTACACCTTTTATTAATGTTCCTTTTGCTACATTATCTAGATCTCATGCCACCAAATTCCTCTGGGGGGAGGAATGTGTGTAAATCTCATAGCAATGTGACCAAAAATGACTACTTGCACTTAAGCAGTAGTCTCCACAAGAGAGGAGAAGAAGGGAAGAGAATTATTTAACGAAAACAGGATAGCGACTGCAAGAGAAAAGTGGTACCAAGACAGTGGTGTAAATAATTCTGATGTTTTCACTACAGCATCACTGAATGGCTGGTGCTCTGGGAAAAGGAGCCGGTGGAGATTCTCCTTGATTTGGGATTTGGTACAGAAGAACCTGATATCTGCACTAAAATCCCTCCTCGGTTCCTCAGTGGTGTTTCTGTAGCAAAAGGGAATGACACCCAAGCGTTTTTGGAAGCTCAAAAGCAGCGGATGGACATTGAGAGACCACACTTACATGGTAAGGAGGGATATTTTGACAAAGGAGGAATTTTAGACAGGAGGTAAAATAAATAGCAAGGGGGGACTGTGAGGATAGAGAAAAAGAGGCTTATGAAACAAAATGCATGAAAAAGGGACATGTACTCAGAAGACATCAAAAATCCTCATGTATGCCTTTGTGGCAATGATACTTCCTAATGTGACTGAAATACAATTTACCTCTCCTCAGCTGTGAACTCTGATTTATGTGCTGGAGCTGCCAACTTACAGCATTTTAAAACATAACTGCCCATCCCCTCACTGTAAGACCTACCCCGCCGGCAGAAATTGTCACTGGTGTCGCAGAGGCTGCATTTTAACATGTTTCTGTAACCACTTCACCAGCAACATGTACCCACCATCATTGGTGCTATAAGCCAATACACAGGATTTTAAATTCAGCCAGGCCAGATGTGGGCTCACATTCCCTTTTTCCCCTGATGAAAGCAGGACCCCTCTCACAGGGAAATGTGGTGAGCAGATGACAAGGTCTTAACTTCCATGACTAGAGCTGCCAGAGCTTTTGCATCAGACCCCAAAACACCAAATTAAAACCTCACAGGTTTGTGATTGAAATATATGCCCCAAGATGTAGGTGAGGGCTGTATTTTAAGTACAATAAAAATCATGCCATTTAAGGCACACAGTCTTGATTTTTATTCATTTGAATGGGTTTAGTTCTCATGCTGTGTATTTTACAGTTGAGAAATGAACACAATATAGATATATCTGCATTACAATAGTATTGTTAATTTGCTGGTATACCACCCGTCTGAAAAGTCCAATTTTGACATCATTACCCCTCATGTTTGCTGCACAGGATAGCCAGATGGCTCTTGAATTTTTCTGTTTACTTAAGAAGCTCATCGAAGCAGTATCTCTCACATAGCCCATGCATTCCTGTTTAGAATTACACCAAGGAAGCATTATGGATGGAATGAGAATTGAAACAGAAATGTCAGAGCGTTGTGAAAAATGTGTTTTTCTCTCTCTCCCTTTTTTTTTTTATAGCAAGCCCCGTGCACACATTTCAATATTTACAGCAAACTGACACATCAAACAAGTTTCTCAGCTCTCACTCTCTTTCTCCCTCTGTAACTCTTCTGAGAGAGAGGGATCAGAGATAATCAGTATGAGTGGATGGCGGATGGAGACCTCAGGGAAGAAGGCAGAGAACTAGGAGGGAATGAGAGAAGAGAAAGAGCCTCTGAGGGAAGGAGTTTGCACAGTGAAGACAGGCAGTGGTAAGCCAAGGTGTGAATTTAATGACTCTTCCTGCAGTCATCCTCAATGGGAGCACTCCTAGCACATGTTAATGGCTTATCTGTATGGGGGAGGTGCTGTGAAGTAAGATAAGATTTTAATTTCTGTTTTGGTGGGTGTGATGTCCATCAAAACGTATTATCTTGCTTTTGACAGTTTGGGAGGGGGTTTTCACACCATCTGCTTAGGCATCCTAAGTATGTGCCAGGGCTGGGAACGTTTAATTGAGAGAGATGGGAATCATCCTTCAGAGATACTTACCTCTTTTCACTGACTACAGATTTCCATATAAGCGGTGATTAACCTCAGCCTTGTTCCCTGCACCAAATTATAGGCATTTAGATGAAGCACCATCTCAAGGAGCTTAATCACTGTAGAGCCATATCTATCTCCACAGCAAGTGGAGAGAGTGAGGCAACCACTGTGGGTGATCATCCAGCCACCACTTTAAAACACCTCTCAGTAGAAGCCAGTCTGTTTCAGTGACCATGTAGGTAATCTTGCACAAGTATCTGGAGTCTAAGTCCTGGAGGGGACTTAGAGCTAAAAAGGGATGTATCAGGCTTAGTGTACAAACACCTGAGGAATATCCTCAAATAGCATTTGTTTGCAAACTGTTTTTTTCCAATCTTGCCCACCTTAGGTTGTCTAACGGTTTTGCAGTGAGGTATAGCAAGAAGGAAGATTGACAAATTCATGTTTATTAGATTTTAAAATGGATTGAATCACTAGAACAGGACCTAACCTATCTGCCTTCAGTACTATTACTGCACCTAAATTTTCAGGCATCTAATGAGCCAGCTCTTCTAAAGCAGAAGCCTGCATTCCCTGTAATGGCAATGAGGAGAACAAGTGCTTATGAAGGCCTCCAGAAGAAGACCTCAGAAAAAAGACCCTTCTCTGCAAATTAAGTAGAAGATTCAGGTCTGAAGTGTTCCACAGTGTTTACCTCTCCATGAACAATTTAGGGAACTCCAGGCTCCTTACTGTTAGAGGACTTCTTCACCACCACATTGAAATGAAAGTGCCAAAATGAGGTAGACCATCTGCCACCTCTGGAGATTTCAAGACTGTATTGAACCACTGTTCCCAGAGACCTGCTGGATGAATTCAGTTATTGTCACCCTGGTTGGTTTATTATCACTGAAGCATTTCAATGCAAATACAGTCTGAATCCCTCTCATTTGTCTCTAGCCATGGAAAAGGAAGAAATTGTTTAATATGAGTTAGTGAATGCCTGAGAGGTTATCTCATTTTCATTTTACTTTCTCCCATTCTCTGAATCAGCAGAGAAAGTTAATTGATTAGAAGAATGTGTGTTACTCTGAGAGAGTGAGAGATAAAGCAAAAGGTTATAGGTACAATATAGAAGACATGAAGATGGAGAAAGATATAGAAGATAGAGAAAGATATAGAAGATGGAGAAAAAAGGAGACAGAGGTGAGAAAGACCAAGGGCTTCCATAGCAGAGAAAGATGGAGGAAAAAGGAGACAAAGGTGAGAAAGACCAAGGGCTTCCATAGCAGTGACCCCTCTTCACTTTCATATTTCATGCAATTCCTAAAGCAGTCCTTTTCTGTTTCTGTATAGCTCTTCCATGCTTGTGATGAATAGTTTTCCAGGCCTCTTCTGCTGCTGATTAGACCCTTTAAAATACATGTGGATTATTACAGTTATTTATTAATTGTCTTCTCACTTGGTGCTATTTCCCCAGTATTGTCAGAGAGAGTTTTCAAAAAGTTTAGTTCACATAAATAAGATTTTCAGTATTTTCAAATATTGAAATAAATAATATTTTTGAAAAATATTGATCACCCTTTCAGTTTCTCAGCCAGATCCAAAAGAAAAGCTTATCCCCATCATCTGCCAGTGGTGAAAATTTTACTGACCTTGTTAGAAGTGATATTTGACTTCCTAACTGAAGAAATAAAGTCACTTGAAATTTAGAAATTATGTTAGGTGAAAAATAATTGTATTTCTGAATATGTTGATCCCCATATTTTTGAAAACTTCAAGTTTCTGTACATCGCAGTTCAGAAAAGTTGAAATGTTTTGATCTGATGCTTAATGATAAAAAACCCCCACCATGTTTCAGTACCACCTATCCATACTGCCATATCTAAATCTTCTTGGGGTTTTGTTTCTGGGGAATTTTCACTCTCATTTCTGTCTGTCTCAGCTGCTGCAAGCCCCTCACTGGAGCTATAGTTTCAATTCTCGCTCTCCTCTGTGAGATGAGTGTATTAGGTAGACGCCATTTCCCCTGACACATGGTTGTACTGCGACTGCTACTACAGGTCAGTTGGGAGGGAGGTGCACACATCATTGGAGATATAAATAAGCCAGTAAATCCACCCCCTAGAAGAGAAATGAAATGTAAATTGCTAAATAGCTTCTCTGAAGTACAGCTTCGATTCAAGGAAAGACAGTACTGCTGAGACTCAAGATGAAACATTCTAAAAAAAGGAAAATATTTCAATATTTGACAAAGTAGACAATGCTGAAATTTCATTTTTACTTTTCCTGACAAAAAATGAGCAATTTCAGATGTCTTGATTTTCCCACTGAAATTTTTTATTTTTTCCAAATTCTGCCATTTGCTGTGAACAAAAGTTGATGATTGAAAATTTCTTGCTGGCTCTGGAAATGTTCTGTGTTCCTTCATTCCACTGTGGGCCTACTGAAGACTTTCCAAATCTTTCATGTAGATAACTATGTAATACCAGATTCAAGGAAGAAGGAACAAAACTGTGAGCTTCCCCTCCTAAATGATAAAAACAGTTGATCATAAAGTCATTAGAAGCCCTGTAAAAGATATAGATTCTATTGAAGATTCATTGATCTTGTTTACAGCACAGACATTTGCTGTTTCGGCTGAAGTGTCCAGTGAACATGAATCCCTGTTTATGCCCTTTAGTATCTCATTTGTGCTACAGATTTAGACTATTTTGCAGCAGGCTCCAGGGACTAAAGAGGTATTATCTGCCTCTTGCCTATTTGAGGCATGATCCCTGGGGAGCACCCCTAGAAACTGAAGGGCCTGCTCCATGAAGCAAGGCTGTCCCATATATAATTTCTTTATGACCTGTGTATTTATTACATTGCACATGGGTGAGGGGGCGTTTATGTTATCCATTTATAATTTCTCTTGTTGTTTGATTTGTCTTTAGGTATCCCAAGCTCTTTGAAAAGTGTGTAAAAACTATTTCAAATTGCAGCTAGTTTGGTTCTGGTTCAAATCAAAAGAAGGACTGGACAGCTGTGCTGCTGTCAGTTAAAGGACACTTTGCATTGGCATTTGGCATTTTTGTGGCCTGACATGGTGGGAGTCAGATGAAATACTGACATGGAGAGGATGTGGTAGGACAGTGGCTGTACAAAACCAAAAATTATTTACTCTGACACCTGAAACTTACACAAGTGGAAACAATACAATATGGTGTAATGTGTGTACCGATAGACCAGATAACTCCTTTAAACATCAGGTGAAACCTTCAACCATGTCTTAAAATGTGGCGGGAATGGCAATGTTTTCCTTCAGTGTTAAAAATCAGGCAATGTCTGGGGCAGAGAAGAGGAGAAGTATTCTTGAGATATAGTAACTATCAAGAATTATATGTCATGGGATTGGTCTCCAATGCAAAGGACCAACTCAAATCCAATTTAAATATCCCCTTGTTGTCTAATTGTTTGTGAAGCCACATGCAGATTGCATGCAGTAAATTTGGCTGCTCTCTAAAAGAAATGGCAGCCAAGAAAGTTAGCATTTTGCCGTCTTCTGCCCTCAACGAATCTCTCAAGGAAGGAGGAGTCCTAGTGACATATTCATTGCCTTAGGATAGGTACACACAATGTGCAAGTAAATGTGTTGTGTTTCTTTCTATAAATAACTTCATAGTGTTGTAATGATGGAAATCTCTAGGATCTCTGAGAAAACATTATTTGCTTCTCTTTAGATGTTATGCCATGGAAAAAATGACCCAGAAATTACAGGAGGCTGGTACAATAAAAAGAATCTGGGAACCTTTATACAACGTCAGCTATGAGTTTCTGAGGGATAAGTGTTTTGTTTTGTGCTGTTATGAAAATGAGAACATATCTTCCACGGTCAGTTTTTATCAGTTAATGGCTATATGCATTTTGCAGTTACCCTGGACAGCTGGCAGCTGTAAACATTTGAGATTACATTTTAATAACTTTATTCACACAAATTTTAATAAGTCCTCAAAAATGGCATCCAAGTCCGGCCCAGCCAACCAGAGAATTTCAGGCTGGATTCTGTAACCTTTATTCACACAGAGCAGCAGCATTCAGATGCACTTGACCCAACAAATTCAACATTGCATGTTTGTCTAATATAACAAACTATGCAATGACATCTCTGTGTAGCCTGAATGGATCTTCTGGAAGCAAATGGAAAAAATTTAGACACTTTTGAATGAGGTACTTAGTATGTTTCTTTATGGTTCTTAGTATGTTTCTATAACATGCTTAGTATGTTTCTTGGCCATGACAGGTTTGAATAATTGTTGTACTGTATTATTTCAAATTGTATCTTTAATAAACATGTTGCCTTCCATTCTGCCCATCTGAAGAACGTTTTCAACAGCTGGGAGTACTTGACCACGTAACCAGTGTCCTCTCATCTTTGCTGACCAACGTCAACATCCAACAGCTCAAAGCACAGGATGCCGGCGAGGATGAGACCAGTCTCTCAGACGCTGCAAAGAGCAGACCTGTGGTCACAGGAGTCAAGCAGAGAAGAGTAGGTCAGCTCCCGAAAAGGGCTTCTCAGCAGACAACGCTGCTGAAACAGGGCTTGCTGGCACCTGGGGAAGCCAACTTGCCTAGCAGGAAAGAGCAACCCCATTCTTGTCCAGATACTGCTGAGAGGGGGATGGTCCAGGCAGGCTTTTCTGCATGTGTTGCATTGGGTTGTCTGACCCAGGAGCAAGCCCCTAGAAGCAAAGGTGCCTTGGCATGTCCCACATCCCAGTGTCCACTGATGCCACCGGGGAAAGCCTGGGCTTCATCACACCTAGCTGCAAAACAGCCTCACCTTTCCACTGCGTGTGAGGTGCCTGCCAAAGCCAGGCCAAGAAAGGAGCCACCTATGCTTGTGGTCCACTCTCTCAAAAAATTGGCCAACCTAAGCTGCAAGCTTCCAGTGTCATTTGAAATGGAAAAGGTGAGGTGGATTTTTGTGTATTGTGCTAGCAATGTACCTTCACCCATATTTATGGTATAAGTTCAAATTCTTTTCTTCAGGATGGAATCTAGAGTAAATTACTTCAACAAGCATCATGCAACAGCATTATGGGGAAAACCTGTAGGTTTTACACTACTCATTGGGGTTTTGATTATTTTAAATTGTCTTTGTGTTAGGATACCATCAAAGAAATCTGCACTGAAATTACTGAGGTAGGATTCATTCAACCAGTATGATAATGTAAGATGCCAATATATGTTTTATACAGCACTCGGTTTTGGGTTTTTTATAGAAGGAAGTTGCAGGAACACTAATACATATGGTAAAGGATATTTTTAAAGATCCAGTCTGTTTTTTTCTATCCAGGAGTTTTTTTCTACTTTTTTTTTCCCCATCTTTTTTTGTCTCCTAAGCTAATTTGCTGTTGTGCTCTTTCAGAAAGTTGCATTAAAAAATTAGTCTTGGTTTTATAGCAGTGTTTGAAACATTTTATCACTCTGTAAGCTGAGCATCCTAAAGCCAGAATAACTCAGAACAGCAGCTTGTTCTCATATCCAGTCTGCAAAGTCCACGGTACTTAGTTATCTGCCTGTTTTAGCAACAGGGGATTGTCACTGGGGGTTCAACACGAAGCAGCAGAGACCAGGATACTTGCCAGGCCCTTTCTAACATCTAGAGCTCTTGTGTGAGCAGCAGTTTTTCTGGCCATACTACTGCAGAAAAAGGGCTACGGTAGGATACTCTCCAATCATACAGACTCCACTGTAAGAATCAAAGAAAGAAGGAGAAATGGGATGGTTGGTAGGTCCCTGGAAATATATGGAGCATGGGAGGGAGGGAGGGAGGGTAAGAAGGGAAGGAAACGAGGAGGCAGCGAATGGCTGGAAAAAGTGGGAGGCTTAAAAAAGTTTTCCAGTTTTTAAAGCATTGGAAAAGATCAGGGTAAGGTGGTGCCATTCTTCTTGAGGAAAGGGTATTTACCTTTTGAAGTCCTTCCAAAGGTGTATTTTTCTGTGAAAGGTTTGGTGCAGCCTTCCTGTTGGCAGAGAGGATTCAAGAATCCGAGCATGGCCCTGATTACCAACCTCAGTGGGGGAGAGGGTATCTTTCAGAGATCTCCAGCACAGCAAATTTATAATCCCCAGGTGGCCCATATGTCTTTGTAAAGCACTTATCATGCTGGACTTGCAGCCCCGTGACTAGAGGCTCACGCAAAAATGAGGCTATTGACAGTGCAGTAAATGCTGTATGTTAAAATAAGATGGTGTATATATTGTTTAACTTCTGAGTATTATCTACCACATCGTTAAATTAAGTCTGTAAGAACAGTGTACTGGCTGAAACCATGAGGCCACCTATGTCATTAGTCTGACAATGGCCAGTAGCAGATGTATGGGGAACAGAGTAACAGTCACATATAGAGCAATCCTTCTCTTATACTTTTTCTAGCCCTTGACAATGAAGGACTTAGAGATCTTGAGCTACAGACTGTGTGGAGGACACACCTAACATGCATGTTCACATGTAACTTGTATATAATAGATCCCCTTTTCCGTAAAGTCTTTTTCTGAAGGAGTTTATGGAACATCATGATGTGACGTTCCCTCTGATACTATGAAAAAGTCAAATGGGTCTTCATTCCTAGAAGAAAAAAATTCTGACCTTACATACACTCTTTGGCAAGAATTTACCTCCATATCATTACATTCCCTTGAGTTTCTTCTACTAAGTCATATTTTTTTCTAGGGATATTTATCTGAGGCTATTCAAACAAGATTGTTAGTATAGTTATGTGTTAGGAACCATTTTGTATGGATTACTTTGAGCAAGTCTTGGGAAGGTTCTGAGAGTAGACCCTAGTTTATGACAAGAACAAATATTTTTAAAAGGCGGCAACTGAAATGGAACTATCTGAAAGATTTCATGTTTTAACTTTGCAATGTCCAGAATTATTTTGGGTTTTGTTCCTACCTCCCTTCCATATAATAAGGCATACACTCATAAGCACTATCATGAATAATAGATTTTCCTTTTATCTTTCTTTTCTTTTCAGATTCAGAGTTTTGAGGATGAAACTCCATTTCTAAATGCTCCTGACACCATTTTAGGTGAGCGTTAAGAAACAGACAATTTGCCAGTTTTTAAAAGACTGTTCCCCTGTAGCTGCTTCTAAAGCTTATGCTAACAATATGTTTTCCCTCTCTGCTCCCATCACCTCTGGCATTTAGATGCATTATTCTAGACATGGCAGTCTGGATTATATGACTTGACAAATCATAGGGCTGTAAAATATACTCAGCTTGTCAGGGAGACACAATGAGTGCACATGAAGAGGGCACATCACATGCACAGCTTTGAGTGTGTGGGATCCCTCTCTGATGCTTTAAGTAGACCTCTCTGCTCTTCCAAGCGATACCAAAGCTTCACTCTTCCTCAGTAAATGATTTGCCAGACTCAGACAACTGCTTATGTACCAACTCTCAGATCCTTAGAGAAGTCAACTAGGAGACTGGATACAGTGGCTCTGCAGCCACTCTGTACGCAAATCAACCAGGACCATGCAACCACGAAATTCTGGCAGCAGCGTGGCCTCTACTCCATCATCTGAGTCTCCTATATCACATAGGCTGTCATCACATGAGCTGAGATAGCACTGAATCATGTGTTAGAAAATAAGTTATTTGAGGAGTCTATGAAAGGATTAAAAGCAAAGCTGTTAGACCAGATGTTATGCTGTCATTTGGGGCAATCTGAGTTTGGATCCTGAGAAGCGTTTGCTGGCAGGGGTGCTGGTGTTGGAGAAACGGCTGTTCAGCCTTCAGAGCATGGAGTGCTTGGCCTTGCTCTCTAGTGACTCTTTCCAACCCATGCTTAGAGCAGGACTGGCTCTACTCTATCTTGAATGGGATAGAAATTTCATGTGAAAGAACTAATAAACAGCAAGAAGCAGAGATTGCAAGGGACAAAGGTGAAAGTTTGGTGAGCCCTCCCCTTTTGAGGACTACATTATATCAGTTCTCAGGAGACAGCACAAATAATTAAGCAACCCAACTTCATACGCAGGTATCTTAAAAAAAAAAAGTGAATGACCAGTGGATATTCTGGTGCTGGTCATTGCTGGATGCCATTGGCTGGCTTGACAGCTGGATGGATGTGCAGAAGTGAATTCATTAGCCTGTTGAAGGCAGTGACATAAGTGGCACTGACTTCAGTGAGGCCAGTGTTTTCATCAGTGTGTGGAGCTTTCTTGGTAAATGCTAGACATGAGTAAATGCAATGGAGTACAGTATGAATTTGGTCTTTGTTGCTATTCAGACTCTATGATTTGTCCTCTGAGTTACATGAGGTTACTTTGATTTTGTTTTCTGATGGGTGCCTTGATCTTCCTGAACAAAGACGAGCCCCCATACCAGTAGTCTTGCTCGTAGCGATATGTGTACAAAGAATAGCAATTCCCAAAGACTGGTGCAGTGAAAAACACCATTTGGACAAACATTCAGTGAGAAATTAAAAAAAGAGTATGTGGACATAGACCAGTGGAGAAAAAATTAAAAGTGTAGTAACATACCCACAAATGCTTTTTTCCTTTGTCCATCTCTAAAAATGACTTTGCTATTTAATGATGAAGTGCATTAGCTAAAGGATTTAGCAGATTGTATGGGTATATCAATCACAATGTAAGGGGAAAAACATAACTGTATACCCTGAATAATCTTTTAAGACATAGGAATAAGCATGTATTTAGCAGTAATTTAATGACAGAAAATGCAGAAAGTAATTATTTGTTTTTAATTCTGATAAGACTGTCATCATTCAAAGTAATCACTCAAAATCATACAAGTAAACTGCACTTATATAAGATTTATGCCTTTGCAGGACCATAAATTTTAGACTTTTGTTTAAACACTGGAATATCTCCCTCCCTGTTTTTTTCCCTCTCTCTCTTTCTTTCTCTGTTGGTTTAGAGTCATTGATGCTTGGCCTAATTTAAAGTGGAGATTTCCGGTGGTTTTTTTTACAGGCTTTTATCATATTCTTTCTCTGTTTCCCATTGCTTTTAAATGCCATATCCCTCCATACCCATGGGAGTTTTATTGTGACTTCAACTTTCTGTGCATCATGGAAACAGTCTAAAAATTGCTGGTTATGAATGTAATATTGTTGCTAGTGAATAATACCTCGCTATTAAGAAGATTCCTATGGAACTGAGCAGAATGTGGCTCAGACCCATAAGCAGGGGTCCTCAAAATAGGAGTGAGTGGGAAACCAAGTCCATCAGGAGCCTACACAAGGAAAACCTCAGCTCCCTGGACAGCATGCCTGAATTTAGATTTAGCCTCCAAATTCCCTGGGGCACAGGCTCCCTATTTCTGACACAATGCCTGATACCATAAGGGCCCACTCTCGTTTGTTTGCGGGCTCTGTTGGGAAGGGTATGAGTGATGATGAAGATGTGGGAGCCTGACATGGCTCTGCTGAAAGGGGAGCTCACCTGAGCGGGAAAGTGCGAGGTGCCCACTCTGAGAAGAAATAGAGACAGATAGAAACAGACTGCTTTGCCTAGATGGAGCATAGTAGAGACGGATGACTTATGGAAGTACGTGTCCCAGTGGTATTGTCCCTTGGCTCTGTAGCCTGGTCTCAATTTCAGTCCAATTGTTTAATTTTCTGCACTCCCCATGAAAGCCAATTCCCTGGCTGCTGTGTGTCTTCTTTATATTTCTCCATAATGTAGATTCTGGCTGTTTAACTGCAGTAGGCTTTATGATAAGGCTTTTTTTCCCTCTCTCTTGGCAGAATGCTGAGACTTAATTTTAAAAGAAGCTCAAACCCCCCGAACATTCCTGAATGACTTACAGGGAAAGCAGAGTGTTTTCTAGCTCTGTTTTAAAAAATATTACAATCTATTTTATTAGGCAATTTTATCATTGTTATAAATAAGTAATTGTACTGGGGAGAAGGGATAATCCTTATTTAATTAAATTCATCTATACTCCCAGGTTGGCAGCAACCAGACATATGTGAGACTAATACCCACAGCCTGCCTGTATGCATGTGCAATTAAAAATTCACTCTACAGTAGCACTGGCAGTTTAGTGTTGCTTTTGGCATTTACAAATTCTTTTATTTTGTGACTTTTTTTTTTACCATACACATATGCTGGAGCAGATGTTGCTTATTTGTTGTTTATTCAAATCTGTAGGCTCTGGCAGCTAACTCCATTGTTCTGTAATGAAGCTTTATTCACTGTCCTGTATTAGGACCCAGCAAATGCATGACAGGCAGAGTTAGCTCTCAGCAGGAACTACAATTATTGTCCTTACTTATTGGCTGTTTATATTCTAAAGCTCACAGTTGAGAAAGCTGGCTGGGCAGGGTAAGAGGCTGGGGATTCTGTGTGCAGAGGAAAATTACTTGACTCCACTCACTGTATCTTTGCCCTGATGAGTTGCAGGCTTGCATGTAAACTCATCTGTTGCAGGGATTTCATATTCAGCATTTGAAAAATAGAGCTGTTCTCCCCCTCCACCCCCTCTTCTGCCTTGTTCTCCTCCCCCCCCCCAACCCCCGCTGCTCCTTCCTTTTTCAATTAGCCTTTGTAAAGCACTGGGTTTAACTAAAGGATGTTTCAACGTTGCTCACCCCCGTTAACTCAGCACGTGCCTGAAAATTCATTAGCAGCAATGTCTATTAGGGAGGCACGGGAAGTCAGTGTTCTTTCGGTGCTCACCGTAGTCACCTGCTCCCCCTTGCTCCTTATTTATTTCCCTCTCTCTCTGAGGGGTGGCCATGGACCCGAAAGGCAGGAATTCCTGCACGGCACTGACCCGAGTGGACACACCGCTCCCGGGTGTTCAAGTGCCAACAGAAAGGCATTAGCCTGCTGGAAAAGCCCTTGGTAGCCCAAGAGGCAATCAATCAGGGAAGTAACCACCTCCATCTGGCTCCCTGTGACATGGTAGCTCACTACTGGAGTGCTTGTGATCCATCTTGTCCCAACGAGTGTTGCCAGGGATCGCATACACCCAGTTTTTGTGGCAGCTGGGAACGTCCTAGCTTCCCTGCGAGCTGAGCCAACACGTTAGCTCCTGTGACTTACCAACTAGCAATTCTTTCAACTATCACACCTTCACTCCTCCTACTCACCAACTCCTCTGGTGGTTTGGCACCACGGGAACATTCGCAGAATGCAATTGGTATTTCTTTTAGTTGACTGAATGCCAAAAACGCGAATCCTGTTTATTACCCATTATCCATTGTAACGTCTGCCTCCAATTGAAGGAGCAATGTCTTCAAAAGTGCAAGAAGAAAACATGTATGCTTCAAAAAGTACAGGATTTTCTGTAGAAAACAGAGTACCTTTCTCTGTTTTCAGTATAAAGAAAACAGCCATTTAGTATTTCTTATTTGCTGTAGTGCCTACATCACACTGTTTTTCTTCACATATGACATAATGACATTTAGTTTTAAGTGCAGAATAAAGGAAAGGGAAAGGCAAAGAGACAGCCAAAGGGAAGACTTGCTAAACCTGCATCAAAATCAGGAGCTGAACTTAAAAATGTCGTATACCTACGCTTGTGTTGATATTGCCAGACCTTTATGTTGAACTTCAGCATTGGTTATTGATCACATAGTTTCCAAATATAAGCTATTTCTTCATAAAACATGATGAATAATGGATCCATAATAGATAGATCCTTTTTTGCAACAGTTTTCTGTAGGTGACCTGGCACAAAGGAGATATCTGCCTTCTTTAGCTGCTTTGGGTTGCCCCTATATGTTTCATGATACTGCAGGCCACATTTCCCCCATCTTTGGCACATGAGCCATATAAAGGCTTCCTTATTTTTTCCAGTTTCACACATAAGGGACCTATAAGTGAGAATAAGAGGAAGCTGTATTGTTTCAATGCATTTAGCAGCCTGAAGAAGTCTGGAGGGAAAGTGCTATGGTCCCAGAAAGAAGCAGAAACTGCTGGGAAGCAGAGACTGATAGAAAAGAGTAAAGTGAAAAGCAAAGTTGTTAAATGATGAGTCTTCAAACTTTCCTGCATCTTCTCCCTGCCTGGAAGCACCCTGAGTTGTCTGGTTCCCTCAGAGAAGTTCTC